CCCGCCGCCACCACCGCCACCATGAATACGGGCCTGGTAGGGAGAAGGGCCGGGAATTTAGGTATTGACGCCTCCCGAAGCACACACCTGACACTCACGGAAGGTAAATTGCCTGTCGCTCACAGCGGCTAGATCAGGGTATAGGGGTCACCAAAGTCATACCATTTTGAAACAAAATTGTTTCGATTGCACGATGAAAAGCAAAATACTTTTAAACTGTGGTGGTAGTTATTTTGGCTTGAAATTTTTTAATCTCCCTCTTCATTACATTTTTTGAAGGGCGAAGAAGAGGGACGCGAAGCGATTTTTATAGCGATTAATAGTTATTTATATTACAATTGACCACAAAGGACCATTGTGTGCAAGCTGATTATTATTCATGAGCACGGTGGCGACAATGAAGTAAATTAGGTATAGTAATACATTTATTCAAAGAATTCAGTGACACTTGATTGCCCCGCATGCACCGCACGCAGATATCAACTTCGTACAGCCCTAATTTCGAAGACACTTTTTTTTTATTTTAGAAAATAATTTTTTATTCTTGAAACAAAATTCTCAATTGTAGTTTATGAAGAGTTCTTTTAATATACACATGCACATACCAGAGTCACATACAGAGTTTGGGTGGAGAAATTCAAAATGATTTGATCGAATGTGAAATTTTACAGATTTTGGAAAATATCGCATGTCTCGCTCAGCCCATGCTCCGATAAGATTTTATTCGTTTTAATGATTATCAGAAAATATTTTTGCTTTAATGTTTAAATTAAACAAAGTAACATCGGCGGTAACAAGTTAAAATTAATCGTTACTCAAAACTTTTAGGGTGGGAGGAATTCCCTTCCCGTGGATCCGCGCCCGCATATACACTTACATCTCACTTATATAATCCTTGTTTCTGAGAAACAAATAATCTACAAAGTACTTTAAAATACTCCATGAGCTTGGTGTCATGGGGAATTCTTCAGATCAGGAGATTCTCGTCGGAAAAAATACGTGTTATTTCAAGCCCTGTAACAGATACAACGACTTTTCATTTAAAGGAGCTCAACATCTTGTAGAATGGTACAAAGATTTACAAAATGATGAAATCAGTTTACTATATTTGAGACATTAGAAACTGCCCTGGGATTCTTATACACCCCATACGTCTGCTTATGGATTAAGCAGCGTCTCGAAAAATGTGGAAGCGGAAGGGGGTCACTGCAGTCCCTCTGACGGGGAGTCCTCTGTTTGATTCCCGACGGTGGAAAGATTTTTGACACTAGCTTCACAGCTAGGAAGAATTCAGTCACTCTCAGGAAGAGAAAAGCCATATCTGGTCACCAACCAGTATCAATCAATTTTTCTTTTGTTGGATTCCAGGTGCATTTGGACCTCTACTAGAACTTCTATTAAATGCATTGCATTTCGTTTCGCCTCGGCAAGTTGTTTCAGAAACACAATCTTTGTATCAAAGTGCTGTGTGATATTTTCTGTCGGTGGGTTCTCGTCTACTTCTTTATACCTCAGTTCATTTTCGATTTACATAGCAATGCTCATCGCCCGATACCTGTGGAATAAATGTTTCTAAGAATAATGTGTAATTGTCCAGCGACAACTGTCTATTAAGAATGGATTTCAATTAACACAGCAAACTATAAGTGTTTTTTGTAAAGGAAATATATAAATAAGAAATATTTTTCTTATTGTGATAATAATATGCAATTGTGGACAATAGTGATCGTTTTATCGTAATATTTGTATTGTGTTAATAGCGAGTAACATATTTGCATGTTCATGAGGGTAGTGCCAAAATTCGTGCTAATGTTCACCAAAAAGGCAATGAAGACACATTTCATCATAACACCAAATCCTTTTTGAGACCAAGTAGATTCGTAAAAATAAAAATATAATTTGATGATTGCTAAAACTAACTTTTTGCTAACATCAAAAATATATTTTTTTTATAAACACATATTCGATAATATTATTTTTCGAGCAATATGGTGAAAAGATCAATTAAATAAACACTACAGTTTTCTTTAATTGTTATAATCTTGAATACCAATAATGTGTTGCAAATTGATAAATTTTCAATATTGCTATTCAACATATCCTCTTGAATGTATTTTAACCTTACCGCCTTGACCACATCCGTAATATTTAACCAATAAAAGAGCAGAATGGGTTGTATGCTTAAGTGATTGGTGGTTGATAGAACCTTTCAGCCAATGGTAGCTTGAGCTTGTGCGCGGTACGCGTTCTCTCGCTTGACAAGATTCATTCGACTGAACATTCTGTGAGCAGCTTCAGCTGGGGTAACATGGCGTCGTTGAAGTTCACGCACGCTGTTGTATGTCGCATTCCTCTGTCGTTCAGAACGAGAGGAGAAATTGAACTGGAAGAAGCAAAACGACAACATGAAGCGTACGTTCGTCTTTTGCGCGAGTTGGGGTTGGACGTCATCGAATTGCCGCCCGATGAGAGTTTACCCGAATGCGTCTTCGTGGAAGATACAGCCGTAGTATGCAATGGAATAGCATTAATTACGCGCCCTGGTGCGCCTACCCGCGTAAAGGAGGTGAGTATTGTTTGAGATGAGTTAGATTTACAATCAGAAGGATACGCTGCTGCCAAGAATAAGTGATCTATTATTCAGTAAGTGGTCAGAATACCCTTAAATCATCTACAGTGTTCTCGGTATGTGGGTCACCGGGTTTGTGTAACTGCGTGCTCTGTCTGTGCATGCTACTTGCGGTGCAGTGTGGGGTGCATAGACGGATATATAAACTTCCAAACCCAGTGGTTTTAGTCTTCAAGTACAATCTTTTTAATTGAATGTTAGGTCGACGAAATCTTCTGTTCGTACTGGCTCCTAATGTCAAACGTGGGCCCGTGAGTGAGCATTGGCCGGTGCTGTCAAAGTTGAACATGATGTCATAGTATTTTGTTATCAGCAGCAACTTTAACGGTGATGTCATCGACATTACACTTCCGGTTGCCTAGTTTGAATGAAGTTAAACTTAATCGCGTACACTGACTTATATTTACTAAGGTAGATATCTTTGACATCAGCCGTTTCTGCAGCAAACGATAACTGCTTGATCAGATATGTTGCAACACGTATGTAACGAAGTATACTGTTGAATTTGTAATATATTTAATATAAATAATATAAAGATACTACTCGTAAGTAGTATTAAACTTACAATGTGGGAAGTATTGTTAGTAAAATATTTTATTATTTCCATTTCGTATAATTTGGCGAATTAAGTTATTGTGAAAAGCGAATAAACAACTTAATTAAATCAATATTTTTGAAATGTTTCTAGGTCGAGACAATACGAGCTGTTCTTAAAAAGGAATTGGATTTACCGATTGTAGAGATCAGTGATGAATCTGCCAAATTGGATGGTGGAGATGTACTCTTCACAGGTATGAAGTTTTCAATGGTGTAATGAAAGATTTCGTATGCTTGTTGATACTATATGCCTTCACATATACACTTTTTGGCTGTGCTATGATCAGTTGTAATGCTGTTATAATTATTGAAAATACTTTCATTCATTTGAAATGGAATATTATTTATATTGTCCATATATGACTTATAAATACTCTGGTGTGGTATAAGCCGTTGTGGGCAATAGTTAGTAACAACACATTTTTTTATTACTTTTGCATTATTGAATTGCTCTTGAATTAAATGTAATGGTTTTTTGTTCTTTTTTGTGAAAACCAGCTTATGATATATGTAGGGAATGTTAAGAAATTAAATTGAAATTGTGAATGGCATATTTCCGTTTACATTTTGTTCACTTTATGTGTTGCATACATCCCTAACAAAATTATATAAAACCCTTCTTATGTGACCTAGGAAAAATTTAAATTTAGATTTATTGGGGGAGAAGATTATCTGTGCATGTTTTCTTGAATTCCAGAATCCCTTTCCAACATTTTAACTACAAATAGTTGAAAGGTGAATAAAAGTTTAAAAAATAAAATAAACAATGATAATAATAACAATAATAACAATAACAATAATAATAACAATAATAATAATAATAACAATAATAATAGTAATAATAATAATAATAAAATTTAGAATAATGTGAGATCAGCAACATTTGAAAAACTAAACATTTTTGTTCCAAAGTTATAGAAAATTTATTTGCACCACCACCGGTAAATGAACTGCAAATTTGATTTTTTTCTGCATTGCTAACAAAATAGTAATTCATCTCCAGAGAAGATTCCCATAATTTTAACTTTAAATAGTTGAAAGATAAAAGTTAATGGTAAATAAATAAAATTTTCAAAAAAGTGCAAAATAAGCAATATTTCAAAAACATAGACATTTTCGTTCCTGAGGTATAGAAACCTTATTTGCAATGGTAACTGCACTGCAGATTTTATTTACTGCGTTGCTAACAAAATAGTAACTCGCCCTTACCTCTACAAGTAAAAGGAGAGTTCAACAAAATGTGGGCATAGTGAAGCTACATTTATCTGAACAAACCGGAACAAATATAGTGTACGTAAATATAATATTCTTTACACTCCTGATTTCAAATTAAGAATTGAAAAGTATTTAGAACTTATGTTAGTTTTGTTTAAGAAACAATTTAAAATCGTGACTTGTTTTCAAAACACTATAACTTTTAACCTTGTAAATTGTGTGATACAAAATATTTAATTGTGTTTCAAACTTGAGGTTCAATACTGCCCAAATTGTAGTTGTTCAACTTTATTATATCTTTATTATCTCTACGATTAGAAAACATGTGGTCAATTAATCTTAATCCCCCTCAATTACATATAAAGATAGTAAAATATAAATTTTTTTTTAAAAAATTATGTAGCAATAATAAATTCAGGGATCCATTGTGAATTCTAGAAGTTACCTAAATTGTAATCAAGACAACTACAGAAATATAAATAAAAATAACATTGAAGTATTTAATGTGTCCTTTAGAAATTTTTACAGATGATAGATTTATTTAAGCTGCAATTGGGTATTACTTGGTGGCAGCTAATTACATAAATAAGATAATATAAGTAACATGCAAATTATATAATAATAATAAAAATAATATTACTTACAATAGTGACAAGGGAAACTAGTTCAAAGTTCAGTTGCTTCGATGTAGATTAAGTGTGCAAACTTTTTGTTGACCTCTATTTTGTAGTTACGGTAGGAGTAGAGCCAGATTGCTATTTTGTTTGCAATACTAAAAATTTAAATCTGTAGTTTGTTTACCGATGCAAATTAATTTTCTATAGTTCTGGAGCGAAAAGGTAGTTTTCAAATGTTGCTCTTCCCGCTTTCTGAGTATTGTTTTAATCATTAATCAACTAATATGCATAATAAAAGGGTGGGCTTCTAGAGCTCAACAAAACATATGCTGATTATACTTCTCCTCTGTACGTCACAAACAATTTTTACAGCGTTTTGAAAAAAGAAAACAAAATTGAATGTACTTTATACTATTTTAATGACAATTTAATTTCCCTTCTGTTCATCCTATTTCTGTTTTTGAAAAGAGAAAGGAAATTGTTTTATAACAGGCAAATGGAGGACTAATCTTTAATATCACTCCCTCTTAATAATTTAGTGGACTTCGGTTAATTAATCAATAGATAATTTGAGTTTCTTTGATTCTTAAAATTTGTTGTTAAAACCAAATTAATTTTAATGTTGAATTTGTAATTGACAAAGTAAGTTTTGGTCAGTTTGAAGCCAGGATTTTTTAGATTTTAAGACACCTTAAAGTCAAGAAAAAGGTTTATGATAATTTATTATGAACCAGTCTCATTGGTTTCATGTTTTTCAAAATACTCCAAATGGAACAAAATTCACAATTCTTTCTATTAATTGTGCTTTTATGTGGGATGTGAATGCATGTTTTAGGTAGTCAGTTATATGCTGCATTACATGCCTTTCAGTTTGCTATTTCCATTTCTTCTACATTTCAAGTTGAGTGAGTAATTTTACAATTAACTCCTATGAAATATGAAGGTTTCAGTCAGAAGGAAGCTATCAATGGAGTCTAATTGCTTACATATAATGGAATTTATTCAAATTGTCAATTTGGATGGAATATTTTTCTTCATAAATCTGATTTCTTTTGCATTGCACTTAGTTACGAAGAGTTCACTGTATCAATCTAAACATTTGACAAGGTCCTAACTTGACAGTATTTTTTTGAAGTTGTGTTATTTTGCAAAGGTTTAACAATAATAGATTTTGTGATTACTGGTTAATGACATTGTTTAATATTCTAAATGTCTTCTTTATTGACTTGCACTGTATGTGTGTACCAGGACGAGAGTTCTTTGTGGGGTTGTCTGAATGGACAAATGAGGCGGGTGCACGAGCTGTGGCCGCTGCATTCCCTGAGTATCCCTGCACTCCGGTCAAGGTGAGGCCTTGTATAGACCCCGATGAGAACTTCGACCTAGACACACTTCAGGTGAGAGGGGGGGGTGAGTAGGTTTCCGCATGGGGCTCACCAGCACTGTTGGAGAAGCAAGCCACCCCACCATTGCTACTGTGCACTCTAAGTTGATTGATTGCTGCAGCCAGTGACCCACTACTGCTATTTTGCATTAATTTTGTGCTGCATACACCATACCATATTTACTGATACTGAGAAAAAAAATCATCTTTGGTTGTTATTTTTGAAAAATATTAAAATGTTTTTGGATGAAAAATGTAATAATAGCCATTATAAAGTTGTTGTTTTTTTTTTTTTTTTTTTTTTTTTTTTTTTTTTTTTTTTGAAATCAATCTTCTGTTGAATTCACCACAATTTTTACTGTGCAGACTGACTTTTCTTTTCAATTTTTTTTATTTTTAAAATCCAGTTTAATATTAATTTTACTTTTCATTTAGGTTTTTCTATTTCCCACCATACCTGAAAAAAATATCTTTCAGTGAATTAATCAGTTGTTTCAATTTTGCTCTTATACAGTACCTAAGATAAAGTATGTTAAATGAGCTTCAAAATGCTTTGTTATTTCTTACGGAACAATGACAAATTCACATTACAGAAAAAAGTAATTACGTTTTTTTGGATTACATACATTCATGTTTCTTGGTATGAATACATACATTCGAAGAGGGAATTTAGGTTACGTCCCATCACAGTAATTTCAGTAATGAGTCATTGTCAAGGGAGTTTCCATGTTTCACGGAATGGTCTTGCTGTGAGGCATACCCCTTGGAAAACTTATTAGTTTTATTAAAACTTTATGATAATTTATTATCACGTACAATTGTATCTTGTTTTGAATTGATTCACTATTTCCTAATATTTATTCTTAATTTCTCAGTAGTGACAACATATTTACGCATGAAATTCAGTTTACTTTTCATGAGTCGACAAGTGTCCACCAATGAGGAAAGTCATTGTCTAAATGAGATGTCGAAAAAATTCATTTCCATGCCTTTGAGCAAAATTCGTTACTGTTGTTGTAGTTTTGCTAATATTGTGGAAGATCAACTCAAGTTCATTGAGATTTGGCATTGACGGACGCTGAACTATTGCACTGATAGTGTTGGGATTCATTCTAACAGTCCTATTAGGCTAGGTTTAATTAAAGGCCAAATTTGAAAACTTGGTCAGTCAGAGTAGGCAGGATTTGCTAGAGGGATGAAGCAAACCAGAGACAGTTTAGTGGAACGTCACAGGACAAATAAAATTTACTACATTTTTACTTTCTCATTTTTACTATAATATATATTGCAAGAATGTTTTTTTCCTTATAATGTAAGAGCGAATATAACTAGTGATTGCTATTTGTTTGATGCTAAGAATATGTTGATATACTAGTGCTTAAACAGCACCTACTTTCTCCCCGGAATTTCACGCAAAATTACTCAAATTTTTGAAAAATTATGCATGACCTTTCAAAATTCATTTTTAAGAAACATTTATTTAAGGGGAAAAATCTCTACCTTTAGTATTTTAGTTGTAGGAAGACTCCGAAAGAAGGTTGTACTTTTGCCATTTTCGAAAAATCTGTTTTTTTAATGAACATGTGACCTGCACCATTTTTTTAAATGTCCTTCACACTACCCACCAACAAAATTTAATCATGAATGATGGATCCATTTCTTGCAGAAGTTGAAAATGCCCCACGGTCTTAATGTAAAGTACCCCCAAAATTAAAATATCAATTTCAAATGCATGGGACCGCAACCTCCGCCACATCGATTGGAGAAAATCAATTTTGCAGAAAACTGCTGAACAGTTTAGACATTGGTGCTGTTCAGACGGATTGACACTGATGTTTTGCAATCATTCAATTTTCTGGTATCAAGGACCCAAAAAAACATGGATTCTGTCTACCCCACGTGTACTAACCCTACAGCTTTTCTGCCGAAATTCACCATTTTTCGCTTAGCATTACATAACTAACTCTACTCCATAGTGAGAGAGTAAAACACGAATTTTTTTATAACAACTGAATATTTTCTGTTATGTTCAATGTAATTATCATAATTTCATATTTCTCTGATTATAAACTCGAATCTGTTGTTTTTATCAAAATGTCGGTTTCATTATTATAACAAAAATATATTTTTTTGACAACAGAACAATTTTCATTACAAATGCATAATAAACATTAATATAAATACACATAATTCTTGCAGACATTTGAAAGTGTATTTAAAGTTGGCGTGATTTAAAGACTGGAAAATTGTAGTAATGGATTTAATTTTTTTAACTACATCTCAGTAAACGAAAAAATCTGAAAAGAAAAAGAAAATCACAATTTGTGTTTTAAAAGAGATTTTTTCATGCTTGTTCGAGGGTTTAAAGTGTGGGTGGTGAGAAATCTTTAAAAAATCTTATTTTTATGTTAGTGTTATAGTGTAATTACTTATAAGTCATTTGGTTTAGGGGAACTTTTTGCCATTTTTCGCTTGAAGCTTCAATCTTTTCAAAATTTTCTGAAAAATGCTGTCAACAATTTCATTGTATAATTTAATTTAAATATTTCAATATGTAAGCTGATTTGTAATAATTTGTTTTGTTAGAGTAATTTTCAATAAGAAAGATGAAATTGTGAGGTGAGAAACGAAAGAAAGTAAAACCTGGCCATTCAATTTTTCTAAGAAATTAATAACAGTTGCAATGACTATATTGTTTTTTGCATAAATATTAGTCAGTGTAGAGATATATTTAAGGAAAGTATTTGCCATACCAGTCCACTAATTATTATGTGGTTTCCTTTACATATGAAGGAAATTGGATTTTGGACATGTAATGGTATTGATAATATCCTAATAAAAAGAAATTTTGTTCATAAAATTTTACTTGCAACAGTTTGATAGGAACTATTTTTTCTAGCTGCCAATGAAGTTATTTCAAAATTAGTAATAAATGAAAATAATTTTCAAATCTCGGAGATTTGTCGATTTCAAGGAACAGTTGCCAAGATGATATGCAATCTTAAAATAGAAATAAGATGTTTTTGTGAAAATATAAGAATGGCTAAGTACAAAACTACTAAGAATAACTACAAAAGGCTTGTCAATAGCTTCAATACATTACAATAATGATGAATACTGTTTATTTTACGAATGTAATTATGTGACTACTGTTTTCATTACGGAACTAATGAAATCTGTTATTTTAAAGCAGATCTTAAACTATTTCAGTGAAAATCTTTGAATTTTTGAAAGGTGAAAATGTTAATCTTCAGAGTAGCTTTTAAAATATTGGAAATGAGTTGAAGTGGAAATTGGTGGAAATGGGGGTGCAAAGAATGTCATGCTAAATGTACGAACATGGGTTTGAATCCCATGTAGTAGAATAATATTGTTTTATCTGTTGCAAATACTGTGAGAATGCATGTTTTTGTACCTCCTAGTTTTGTTTTGTTTTTTCCATTGGAAGGGATATTGATTTTTTGATTTCATGACTATTAGGGAAGGGGGAAGATTTTATCCCCTCTTCTGTTACTTGCCCTTGCTGAATAGTAAATATGGTATGGTCTTATTGCATACAAATTTGGAAGAAATATTGTCATGAGTTTGTCTTTATTTTATATACTTTGGTGTAGTATTAGCCAATATGTCCTGTTGTAATTGATGTACTAAAATTGCATCTCACTTTGTATTCATTCTTCATATTTCGTGGAGGTCATGAAGCACATTAATTCAAGAATTTTATTTGCTCCTGGGTCACTGAGGTTTTTTTTTGTATTCCATGCTTTGTAGATATTGAAAATTGCAACATAAAATTCATGAGCTGTACGTATCCAGTGGCTGTTACAGTATTTTGAACTGCAGCAATTGTAAGCTGCACGAGTGGGTTTTCAAAAAACCTTTCCCTCTCACTATTTCCCTTTGAGTGAATTTATATTTGTAAACATGCAGAGCTGTCTTAATGAAGTAGACTTCAGGTCTTGAAAAACAAGGCCTTTAATATTTGGTAATTTTTCAGTATCTAATTTTACAAATGTTTTATTAGAACTCGCTGTAACAAAAAGTTCTATTCTACAATTGAAAAGTCCTCTGGTTTCCTTTTCAGTAATTCATTTGATTCTATTAATACATTAATAAAAATCCTATAACAAATTACAATCTCATATTTCCTTGTTATGTTTTGCCTTGCTTCGTGTATTACTGAAACAGTATTTATTCTTTGTATAAACATCTGTAAGCTGTGCTCTTGGGATTGGCAAGAAAACTGTGATGACATGAAAAGATTCTCTTTAGGTCCAAAGGTTCTTTTCATTGCAGTATTTTCAAAAGAAGAAATCAATGTAAACAATTTTTCAAACAAAGCTAAAATTTAAAACTAATTATTAAAGGTCTTCGATGTATTCATGACAGACGGCAAATTGGAACATTTTACCTAACTTTGTATTATCCTTATTGATTTTTTAAATTGCTTTTTTCTTTGTGAAAACAAGATTAATACTAAAGTTTTTGAAGGCCTATTGAGTATATTAAGATAGCTCTGTCAAAATGTGTAAACTTTGTTACGTGTTGAGTGTATTTAAGAGCTTTGTGTTATCAGGTTGTGAATGTTAGAGGCATCTAATCAAATATCTACATAATAATTGTGATCTTATATTACTTTACATAATATGGTTTCTCGCATTAAATTAATAGAGAGAATATTACTATATGTTCTTCGTAACAAGTTGCTTTTCAAATATTGAAAAATTCCATAAAAAGGCTATTATATGCCAGTGAATAATCTTGACAGAATTTGCAAAAATTGTAGTTCAGCATCAGTTTTTTTGTTTTGTTCTAAAACGGAATATTAAACTCATTTGAAAAAAGATATAAAATGTCATCCAAAATATTTATCAGGTATATTGGTAAGCATTGTCATCACATCTTTCTTTGTGTTGCAGTTTATTTTTATTTTTTTGTTATCTTATTGATTTCTGATATTGACAGTGGAATGTTATTTGTGGTGTCTTGGTATGGATAATTTATTTTCCTGGA